TTAATAATATTATTATTTTTTAAAGTTATATACAATGCTATTCAAACCAGAATATTCAATTTGGTTGTTACACTCACAATGCACAATGTTGTGGCTATTGTATCATCAGTCCAACATGGAGGTAAAAGTAAGAAAAATAAAATGTAAAGAAGACAAATGGCTCAATGCTTTTAAAAATTTGAAAGAAAAACTTTATTTTACAAAAATACAAGTATAGCACAGATTTTAAAAAATCTAGAAAAAAAGAGAGTGATATTCTGTAAATGTTTCTATTGTGTTTCTTTGATCAGTAGCAATGATAAGTAATTGTATTTACTTTCAGTTAATATATATTTTTGAAAGAATTGTTTGTGACATTTCCTTGGGAAGGAGAAAAAATGAAAACAAATTACTTGACAAAAGGCTGTCAATACCAAGACAATCAGCATAGAAAAAAATATTTTCTTCTGATCCATAAATGACAGATCCTATTTATGACTTTTACAAAAAATAGGTCCTAAAAAAACTGATCTTTCTATCAAAGATAGGCACTGGAAAGTACTGGGAGATAAAAAGTGTAGCTATATTCTGAACTAGAAATAGGTTCTTACAGAACTATTACAGAATTAGTGGCAGCTAGCTTGTGGAATCTTCCACATTAGCATTTCACCCCTTTCAGGAAAATGTATTCTTCTCTAAAAAGCCCTTAACCAATCATCACCTCGTTTCTGCAAATTCAATCTTCTATTGTTTAATAAACACCAAATTGTAGCAAAGTTCCAGGCGAATACTGTTTTCCGCTGAGCTCTCTGGAGCCAATTTTGCTACACAAAAGTCTATATAAATAACCACATGACTCAATTCAGTTAGTCAGTCATCGAGTTTCATGAGATGCTACCAACCTCCACATGTGGCAATTCACTGACTCACACACCACATTGAAATTTGAACTCAGCAAAGCATTCATCAACCATTGTCCGCATGTTAATCAACATCTACAATTGACTTAAGAAGTGAACGTTTTCACTAATAAAAAAATGTAATTTTACACTTCACCAATTTAGCCTATCAGTTAAAGACAAGCAACTCTTGGCAACATTTATCCTTCTAAATTACGCACATATACACACTGATAAATGAACAAACACATTTGAAACCTTTCTTTGCAGAAACCAAATTATTTTGATTTTTCTAACAATCAAAAAGCATCAACATTTCTTTACCACATTTCTGCATAAACATTCTTTATAACATTATCTTAGTTATTACAACAACAAACATTTTGATTGTCATTTCATGTAATATTTTATCGTTGAGATAAAAATTTTTTATTGTTAGATTCTCTAACAACTGTGTTTAGTAATTTCTTGCCATGTCCTTAAATTGTTTGTGTAATCTATATGTTGTGGGATACTGACATTATAAGCACGCATAATCTTCCTCTTACATAAATTTACCTTCTGATACATTTCACTCCATGTGCATCTCACAACAAGTTCATCATTTTACAGTTTAAATTTCTTGAAACATAAATTCAATGCTAACAATTTCTTCTTTTGTACTTTTTGCTTGTGGAACTCTTTTCTTGCTTCTTGCTTTCCAGTCAACTCTGATCTTCAAAAATTTAAATACAATATCAATCATTATCTTTTGTCTTCTTAATTCCTGATTTTCCTTTATGTTTTTCTTTTTCTCATATTCTTTGACTCTCAGTAATCTCTCTGAATGACTTTATTGCTTTGCTTGAGGGGAAATGATTAAAAAAATATAGCAAACTGAATAAATTTTTCTAAAAAAAATAGCCATTGAGTTTTTTCCTTTTGGAATCATCTTCTTTTCTTTGCTGAGTACATCTTCTAAGTCATTGTCCGCTTTGTTGAATTGATTTTTTCTCTGCTGGATTAATAATTAAAAGGAGGAAAAGAAAGATGTTCGTTGACAAACAGCTGGTCTTATTGAAAAACGTCACCTAAAGGTGGTAAACTTCTTAAACTCAGGGAAAAAATTGGGAACTACAGTTAACAAAGACAAATCACTTTCCTATTGAGTAAATCTTTGAAAAACAGGAGTTGATTTTTTTCCTTTCTTTTTCTTCTTGTTTCCAAAGCACAAAAAACATTTTTATAGCATAAATTAGTCAGCAGATTTTATTTTTCTCAATCAAGAATTTTTTGAAGACAAATATTTACATATAAAAATATCCACAAATCTTTAAATAAAACTGAATTTATCATAGTCACTGGCAACCTTTTCAGTAGGCCATGTACAGAGATGAATACCATCTGGGAGCCTGTGATCAAGAAAGAAAGAAAACTTTTAAGAATTTCCACCATATCAAATTGGTATTGACTGAATTTGATACACCATTGGAGATGAAAACCTTGCAGGGCTATATTGAAATTATTCTATGACTAGCAGACATTTTTTGGTGTGCATTATGAATTCTTTGAAGGACATTGTTTTGCATACTGTTTGGTATGTCTCTGCATTCATGGTTAGTCACCAATCCATCTTCTACTGAAAAATATTCTTTTCAATGACCAGTAATTTCTTATAAGTTTGGGTATATATTTCAAATCCTCTGGCATCCATTTATTATCATTTGTTTTAGAGTTCTCAATTCTCAATTCTTCATCTTCTTCTGTAGCTTCTTGTAAGTCCATTTGCTTTAGTGCTGATATATTAACAGTATTTATTGTTATATCTATGTAGAATTTCTCTGTCTTGTGTTGGCTGTTCTCTTGATAAATAATCTGGCATTCTCATTTATTTATCTGGGTTGTAAATATCATATGGTTGTAGCCTTAACAACTATCTTTGCAATCTTGGGGTGCTTGTGTAATGTTTTCCATATATATATATATATATATATATATATATATATATATATATATATATATATATATATGTATGTATGTATGTGTGTGTGTGCACGCATGTGTGTGTGTGTGTGAACTCTGGAAGTTAAGCAAAAAATTTAATTTTAGTGTTTTTTAGACGATATGTTAATAGATAAACTTGTGGGAATTAATGACAACAGAATACAGAGAAGATTATTGGCCAAAAAAAAGACAATGATTTTTCAAGAAGCCTTTAATATTGCTGTAGGCATGGAATCAGCATCAAAATATTTACTTGACATTCAAGGCAATGATCAGTTAGAGGCCAACAAAGTTAGACAATTATTCCAAAATTTCAGAAGTGGACCAAACAACAGGGGAAATTAATCCTTATCATTTGGACATAAAAATAAATAATGAGACTGTATCCATGGATATAGGTACAGGAGCCTCACTTTCAATGATGGAGCTGCAAACATATGACAAAATTAAGAAAGACAATTCTTTGGAGTATACTAAAATAAGGCTAAAATCCTATATTGGGAATGACAGTTCCAGTGAAAGGAAAAATTCAAGTGTCTATCCAGTTAGGAAAGTATGAAGCTCATATACTACTTGAAGTAGACAGAAATTCACCAACACTTTTTGGTTGAAATTGGTTGCCCAGGTTTATGCCTCTTCTATGTACCATATCCTTTTCAGATCATGGCTCTACACAATTTCCTGTCCTTTGTAGCTCTTAGTAAATTTGTCTTTTCACTATCTCTCCTAATCACTGTTCTCCAAACCATTTACACAAACTTGTTAGGTAGGTTATACACTGCTTTCCTTTGTCCCCTTTGACTTCAATATGTCCTGTGAGTTTCAAATTTTTTAAGCCCTCTTTTTTCATGCTTTCCTTTACTGCCTTCTGTAGGAGTTTTTGTAGATTCCTTTCTGTGCATGCTATCGACATTGTGTCATCTGAATATCTTATATTCTTAAGATTGTGGCTGGTGGGAATTCTAATTATTTCAGAATCACCTCACTGCAAAGGTTTAATAAGTCTGATGAGAAGACACATCCTTATTTTATATCCCTTTTTATTTTTGTATATTTGTTGAATTTAATTTTTATCCAGGCTACAGACACAAAAGATTTGGAAACATTACTGCCCAAGTATCAGAATATCTTTGACAAAAGATTAGGTCAAGTTTTTTAACCTCGGCTGAACTGTATATAGATTGAGTGATCAAACCCAATTATTACAATACTTGTCCTGTGCCATATATGTTGAGAACAAAAATTGAACAAGAACTTAAATTGCTACAAGAAGGAATAATTTTGACTAGTTGAATTTTTAAATGGTTACTGTACTGGATAAAATTGTCAGGTTTTGTGGGAGTTACAAGATAATTATCAACCTTGTGACCAAACTGGATAATTATCCTATAGCCATGACTGAATATCTCTATGCAACTTTAGGAAGAGGTGAATCATACTCCAAGTTTGATCTCAGTCAAGCCTATCAACAGTTATTGCTATATGTGAAATTCTAAAGATTTATCATGATCAACACCCATAAAGAACTATTTGTGTATAATCGTTTATGCTATGGTTTAAAATCTGTACCAAGGATTTCCCAAAGAGCCAAATGACACTCAAAAGTGAACAATACTGGTGAATATTAACTGATATGAAATATTACCTAAACAGAGAAAGCATAGAATCTATGGATTGAATGAATTGTTTGATTAAAAAAATCTCAGAATTTTATTGAAAACACAAACACCTCAAGAAGGCTGAGGGTACAATAGCCAAAGTATAACAACTTTAGATGAATATGCTGGTTTGAAGAACAGGATGTATAGTTTTTAAATCAATTTTTTTATTTTACACTAAACAAAATGCTTTTTAGTTTTTATGAATAATTAATTTTATTCTGTATATATTATACTTTCAAAGCAAGTATTGAATACTCTGTTTAAATAAAAAATCTGATTAAAAAAAACTCAAATAATAAATGTTTAGAGTGATGATATCAGCCAAAACATGCTTGACTTTATATTTTTTATATTCTTACTTATTTATTCTTTTCAGCCTATACTTTTATTCATATTTTATTCTTTAAGTCATGTACTTAAAGTCATAATCATTATCATTTACTATCCAATTGTCTAAAATCAACTTATATTTTTTTAGGTTTGATTTTTTTGTTGTTGTTGGAGCCTTGATTCTAACTACTTATAACTATATAGAAAATAAAGGTATGAATTTTCAATGTTTTATTTCTTAAATGTGAAAATTATTTCTCTTATAAATCATTTTCTTATTTTACTTTTTTTCTAATGAATTTGATGAGAATAAAATATCAGTGGATTACTCACCATTTTAAACTTTTAAAAATTTCAGTATATAAATTCAGTATATAAATTAGCTGTTTTTAATTTAGATTCCTTCATATGTGCTGTTTCACATTTTCCTTATTTCTCCTTTTTCTTATTTCTCCTTTACTTTGTTTCTCCTTTTCCTTGTTTCCTCTTTTCCTCATTTCTCCTTTGCCTTGTTTCTCCTTTTCCATGTTTCTTTAATCCACCTAATATAACAAAGAAAGAAAGACAATCAAAAATGAGTGATTTTTCTATTAAATCTTTTAGGTAGCTTTCAAGTTTTAATTATTGATCCATCAAAACATATCAAAGTAAGCCAAATTCAAACTTTAAGCTTGACTGCTTGTGTTCATTTAGCCTTATTATATTTCCCAAAAGCATGTATTCATTTCTCCCTGTGCACTGCTAGATGTCTTTAAAAAATATTGTGATAGTTGACAGTGAAGAGTGTGGGTGTGGTAGCACATGAGCAAACTTCTCTTCCATATCTATTGTATAATAAAACCTATAAAATATTTTTACATTCATTGTTTAACTTTGATTGAGGCCAGTATATACACACACACATGCAGAAAACTATGGACTGTAAGGCAAACATAAATTTTCAATTATATTTATTAAAAATTGCACATAGGAATTGATGTAAAGATACATTTTCTCTGGATCCAATTCTGAAAGTATGAAAGAAATTTAATTTATTGTATTTAATAAACATTTCATATTTTATTGTATTTTGTTAGTAATTTTATTTTTGTTAGGTTAATGTGTGAAGATGTGTAAACACTTTCAAGACCTATTCTACAAGTTTCTCCCTAGAAGGATTTCTTTAGGGTTAATAAGGGAATTTAATTGGTGAAAATAAGAAGAAATATTATCACATAGGTTTACTTGTTACTTTTGAGGTATGGTAGTTTTCTAATTCTGATTACTCTGAAAAAAATGTGACTCTAAAATCAACTTCTCTGATAGATATTTTCTTTTAATTTTTCAGTGCTTCATTTCAAATTTAAAAGATTAAATTAACTCAGATCAGTTTCATATTTAGAAGAGGCTGACTTTTTTTCATCACAACATATTTCTTTTAATTATTGGAAATCTTTTTTATTATTCATAAGCTATGTAAGCTATGAACTTTAAGTACTTGTCTCAAAGATAGAGTAATGGAACATTATAATAGTTTAAATATTAAATTAAATTAGTAATTCAAAATTTATTTATAAATCAAGGTTCACTAGTAAATACAAAATTGATTAGAATGTGATGAATTACTTATTTCAAATTCTGCTTTCACTTCACATATTCAAAAGCAATTTCCCTTTTGATAATTTGAATGTATTTTTAATTGCCAGTAAAAGATGACTCTTATATACTGGATTTGTTTCTTGTGATGAGAGTTTTGCGCCTGTTCAGGACATTTGCCAGCATTAAGAGGTAAGAAGAATTTTAAAAGATAATTATTTCTTAAAGCTAACAACAAGCTAAAAATAAAAGTTAAGTATGATTTACAAAAACAAAACAACAAACAAAACAGTGCTACAAATATTCCTTTCTTACATGCAACAATCCAGTTGTATATAAGTAAGCAAAATATATTTCACAAAATCCATTTCACCATTGTATTATTGTTGCAGCAATCTCTTTCACCATTCTTCTTCCTTACTTAGTTCTTGATTGTTTCTCTAGCTTTATTTTCTAATCTTTCCAAAAAACATTAATGAATCTTTATTAATTGCTGCTTTCAATGTTCTCTTTTGTTAAAATGATAACACAAGCCTTTGTTTCTAGAAATATCTTTATTTTGGTCAACACCATGAAATACTGAAAACAAATTGTGCCAGAGCAGTAATAAAAATAAAAATATTATTTCAACTAAAAGTTCAGCAAATTTCAGGAGATTTGTAGAAACAAATTATCTTGTGCCCCTTGTCATCAATGAGTTGAAAATTGCAAGAATGGAATTTCAGCTTCAAGTGTGGAACAACTTTTGTCTTTGTTGTATTTTTCTCCAATTCCTGAACTGATCATAAGACCAAAAGGGTCCAAAAGTTCAAGAATTGTGGGATTCCTGCAAAAATAAATCACAAGGGTGGTTCCCCTTGGGATATGAATCCATGCTATTCTTCTAATTGTCACACCTTTTCAGCAACAGTTAGACCCCTTCTAAATTTGCAATTGGTGTAAGCTGGTGAAACGATAAGAGATCAGGAATTGTTCTGGAGTAAAACAACTAATTTTTGGACTTGGAGTTCCAGAAATGATGATTGTATAAAGTAGCAAAATTTCTACATATTTTTGAAAAAAACTTGGAAACTACTGAATTTTCAATGTGCTTTTTTACTTTTTGGTTTTTTAATTTTATTTTGGAAGATTTGAGAATTTCATTGTCTTCAATACTGTCTTCCAATTGCAAGACCACATCACTACCTTCCTCAGCTGTTTACACAATCAGTATCATTTTATAACCTTCCATTATTTCAATTGCAGGAACAGGCTCTTGTAATTCAATTTCTTCTGAAACATCTTTCTCTGAAAATGATTCTGTCAATCCTTATTTACAAGTAAAAATGAAACTTATAATTTCATCTTCCCTAATCTCTCACGCTTCAGAGAGTGCTTAATTTCTGGTTTCTAGTTCCTCTATAGATTTATTTTTGGTAGTTTCCACAAGGAGATTGCTAGTTGGACCTTTTGCCAATAAAGAAACTTCAGTTTCTTTCTTTCTAGCTTCTTCTGACAGATTCTTTTTCATTTGTTTGGTACCAATGATGGTTTCTTGAACTGTCTCAGTTGCATCAAAAGACATCCTTTTAGATGTCTGAATGATTCTCTGTTCATAAATTAGTATACAAAATTTTAGCATATTTTTTACATTGATTTTTTTTATATATAATTTTACATTTTACATTGATTCGGAAATTCTTCCAAAAATCAAATAATTGTCAGATTTTAATGAAACTTTCAGGACTTATTCATAAATGAATAAAATTATTTTAGAAATGTTTTATTTTTAGAAATTTTGAGAAATTAAATTTTATAGAATTTAATGTTAAAAGCAGAACTTAAAAGCAGAATTTAAATCATCAATTTATTTTTGCAAAAAGGGATCCCAGTTACTGAAAATCTGCTCCAAACCGTAACATAAAAAATGCAATAAAACTAAGACAAGAAAAAATTTTAATTGCTTATATGAATAAGATATATTATGGACACTATTGTCTTAAGAAGAAAATTCTTTTCAATGAATAATGAATTTTTACAAGTATGGCGGTATTTAGGAGCACGGCCTGGTCTTGGCCACCAGATATTGCTCGCTTTGGTCAGGATCGATCCTGGTATCAGAGAACAAGCTGTCAACCCACTTGTTGGTCATTGATAACGTTGACACAGCACCTGGTCTTTAAGTTGACTTCTTCAACTATGACCTCTCTTACCCATGTGTGATTTTGATCTTAAGAGAGTCAAGCTGAATTATCAACCATGCTAAACCAAGGAGTTGAACATGTGCATGCAAAATTGAAAAATAAAATGGACGATGCCCGAATAAGTCACAATATGATGTTTATATCAAAATAACAAAAAAAAATATTTACAGTTCTTTTCTTCTTTGTTCTTTTTCTTCTTTTCCCAACCCGTTCTAATATTTGGCAACAGAAAATTTTGGGTAACTTCTTTAAGGGTGGCCAGACTTTACAATTGGATTTATCTTCATGTATTGTGATTTGTACTTTCCAGGATGGCACAAGGTTTATTGTTGGAGTCTTTATTCAGTGACAACTGGTTTTAACTTCAAGTACTGTTGATTGTACTTTCACAGACAGCACAAAGATTTCGTCAGAGTTTTTCTTCTTCAGCAGATAATTATTATTATTTTCATTAGGTTGACAAAACAGTGTTATGACAGAAATCTCTTAGCTCCCCATTGCAACTCCACCCTAACTGTAACTGCAACTCCAACTGACCCCAACTGTCTCTGACTGCAACTGACTCTGACTAACTTTCGCCACTTGTATTTATGGGTGTCCCTTCCAACTGGTGTGGTGCGGGTGAATAAGTGGGTTTTACGCAAATCTCCTAAAATTCAACCATTCTCTTTCTTTCGTTTTCTATTTCACACTTCCAATTTTGGAAAATCCCCTCCTCTTTCAGGAGAAGCCATTATATGATGTCAGCCTACCTGACGTCATCTTATGCATTTAATTTTTTCTCATGGAAATTTTGGCTGATAATTTTCCCAGTACGTACACGTCGGACACCTTTCAGCAGATGACCTTAACCTCTGGCCTCCGACATGCCAGCTGTGTTTAGCTGAATCACATTGTGTAACTTTTTTTTTGTTTAACCCTTTTCGTCCGTACGCCATGTTGTTACACAAGAATCTTTTTCATTTTTTTAGATTAAAATTTTTTTTTTTAAATCAGTATCACCCCAAGCAAGCCAGTACAGCCATTAACATGCAAGGGGTTACAGGGTATGGAGGAATTAGGAACAGAGACTTTAATAATGAGGAAAAAAGATTACAGTAGATAGCAATTTAAATTTTTGCAGATTAAAGTTGGTTAAAAAGCATGGAGCTGGGAGAGAGTCCTACAAGCGAGAAGTGTGGGATAAAAAACTGTTAGCATAGAAGTTATGGCTATATCTAGCTAGCACAACTGTAAATTGATGAGATCTCGCCATAGTCTAGTATTGTGCTTAAATTCATACAGTCTAGGTAACATTGTGTAGAGCTCATCCAAACAATTACCATGAAATTATTTATAAAAAAGGCACAGAGAGGCAACCTTACGGTGGTGGGAAAATGACTGAAGCTGATCTGCAAGATCAGGACCAATAATATTGGTGATACTTCTATGGATCTTATTGAGGAGCTCTAGGAAGGGGTACTGGAACATATATGGCAGCAATATTCTAAGCATGAAAGAATGGTAAGACCTATAGATATGTAAGATAGATTCCAAAGAGAAAAATTGTTTTGCTTGACAAAGTGAACCAACTTAGCAGCTGATCTGGTGATAGATTCAATGTAGACTTTCCACCTCATGACAGCTGAGTACATTAGCCAGTGAAGGCGCAATGAGTCATTTTCTTGGGGGATAGCATCAGTCATGATGATGGAAGGCAGAAAGGGGGTCTCTCAGATGATTAATGGAGAGCAGTTTAGTTTGGTGTGTTGAAATGTGTCACAAAAGAAAAAAAAGAGTTCGTCTTTTTCCTACTATCGTAGCGACGGGCACAGTCTCCACTCCTGAGACGAACTGCCCTCCACATTTCAGCCCTTTACATAGAGCTTGGTAACTCGCCCATGCAAAACACCAACAAGCCAGCTATCAATCACAGTTTCCGCGCCTGCCCACCTCCAGTCGTTTAGGGGGTGTCAAGTTGACCGACCAACTCATTACACGCCCCCCTGACCTTAAGATCACAAAGCTTCTCAGCTCGAGAGATGGTCGCGTCTGTCTGGTGACTGCGTCCGCGTATACACTACTTGCACGCTTTACACATTGGGATGACCACAGATGCGCGAACTCGCTTGCTCCGAGGTGGAAGATTTCCAGATTCATCTCGTGTCTCGCTTCCATGATCGCACACCGTGCAACTCGGGGCAGCCCTTTTTTGCCGGGCACTCCTTCTGAGCGGGATGACAGGGTCCTCATCCTCGGATGAACTCTCATCCAGTGAGCTGTCAGACGACTTTAAATACACCACTCGTGCACCATCTTCAAAGTCACTTTCATCATCTGATGACAGTTTTAACCCTACAACATGACGAGGCACGCCATCGACCCGCACTAACTGCGGGCTGATAATCTCGGTAACATGCCCCATTTTAAGCTTGTCCGTACACTTGCCGTGCGGGGTCTTAACCCACACTACGTCACCAATTCTGTATTTAGCTTGCGCGTCGCTCGGAGCCATTGCGATGTCAATGCCTCGCAGCCGTAAGTGATAGGTGTCACCATGTTAGCCGGTGCTGTTGTAGGCGAAACACCGTCTTTAGGCGTCGCATTATGACCAATAAACTGCTTAGGGGATCGAACATCGCTTCCTGGCTGCAATCACTTTTATAGACCGGTGGCTTCTTTCTACTATGCCGTAGGCACACCGGAACCGAAGCAGCACACCCCACTTCCTTAAGAACTTCGAGAATTGCTCTGAGGAAAACGCCGCACCATTATCTGTCAATATTTCTGCAGGTGGCCCCCGGTCGTAAAAGATGGACTCCAATTGACGTATTATGCTGGCAGTGTCCTGCCGATGCAGCAGCCTCCAAATGGCGAAGCGAGAGGGTCCACAGTCAATAATAGTCAAATAGAGCTGGCTGCCAACATGCGTAACATCTATCCCCAGCCTGTTCCAAACATGGGTAGTACTCAAATTTCCTTTATGCCATTGCACCGGTGCCGGGTCAGTTGACTGGCACGCCTCGCACC